TGCCGGAGCCCGCCTTCCTGTCCCCGCAGCTCGCCCTCCTCCTCCTCTTCCTCCATCTCCGCCTGCTCTGGTCCCTGGCGCAGACCCACTGGTGGGCGGGGCGGCAGGCTGGCTGGCTGGGGCGCCTGCGTGCCGGCAGACCGTGGTGCTAGCAAGGGAGAAAATTACAAACTACAAAAACCAACCTTCTGGCTGACCGGCTGCCTGCGGGGCGCCCACCTGCTGCGCAGGTTCAAAGAGGAGGGAGGCGTGCTGCTTGCGCTGCGCCGCTTCCTGGGCCCCGCGCCCGCCGCCGCCCCCGCGGTCTCCGCGCCGCCGGCCGCGACGGAAGGGCGGGGCTCGAGGCGCGGTGGTGGCGGCGGCGGTGGCGGCGGCGGGGCCGGGTCGTTTGAGGACGCCGTCCTCTTCCTCGTCTTCTCCTCCAACTTTGCCGGCATCTTTGCCTCGCGCACCATCCACTACCAGTTCTACTCGTGGTGAGGGCCTGTCGGCCAGCCTGCAGCGGCGTGAGCCGGGCGCGTGCAGGGCGCGGAAGGCGGGAGGGCACGGCATCACGCCGCAGCCAGTCAGCTCCCGGCCCAGCCGCCTGCATGCTGCGTGGCGCTGACCTCGCCCCCGCACCCGCCTCCCTCCGCCGCAGGTACTTCCACACCCTGCCCTTCCTGCTGCTGCGCAGCCCGCTGCCCAGGTGGCTGGCGGTGGCGGCGCTGGCGGGCATCGAGGTGAGGGTCGGGCTGGCATCGAGGGGAAAGAGCGCAGGGGATAGAGGGGCCCTGACGCAGCTCTGCTGAGTGAGCCGGCACATGGGTGTGCTCCTGCTCACGCCCCGCCTGCCTGCCTGCCTCTCTGCCCCACTGGCCCCCCCAGGTGGTATACAACATCTACCCGCCGCACCCCTGGGCCTCCCTGGCGCTGCTGTCGCTGCACGCCGCCGTGCTGGGCGCGACGATAGGGTTCCGAGGGGCGGCAGGCGCGGGCGCGGGCGGCAGCCGGCCGGCGGCGGCACCGAGGCGGAGCGGGAAGTGACCGGCTGCAGCCGCCGTCGCACGCGAGCTCGCGTGCTGCTCCGTGATCCGTGCTGTCCAATAATTGCATTACAATCTTTTGTGGATTGGGCGCGCACGAATCGCAGGCAGTCAGGGCGACAGCAGCAGGCCAGCTGTCACGCACAGCAGCAGCGCCAGCAGCGGCGCCGCCTGAGAGGTGGCCCCTGCAGAGGGAGGGCTCGGCGGTGGCGGCGCCGCTGGGGCCGTGCCGCTGGCTTGCGCGGTGCCGGCGCTGCTGCTGCTGCTTGGGGCCGGCGCAGGGGCGGGTGGCGCCTCAGGCGGACCTGCAGCCTGCTGCGGCTCTGGCGCCGCCGCCGGGACCTCGGGGGCCGGTGCATTCGCTGCAGCTGCCGGTGGCGGCTGTGCAGGCTCTGGCGGCTGCGGCGCCTCGGCAGGTGGCGGGCTCTTGGCCCGTGCCGGCGTCGGTGCCGACGCCGCTGGTGGCGAGCTGGCGGCGGCTGCGGGGGGCTGTGTGACGCTCTGCCCGGGCGCCTTGGCCTCGCAAACTGCAGGCGGCAGGCACCACAGCCCTCACGCTGCTGCCGCACTGCCGCCATGCGTCGTGCGCGGCGCAAGCGCAGCATGCCGATGCAGCAGCGACAGCTGGGCAGGCACCCCATTCCCTTGACCCCTCGTGATCAGGCCTGCCTCCCTTGCCCCAGCCGAGCAGGCCTGCGCACCTCTGTACTCTGTCGGCTGGTCGGCAAAGCACTTCCTGCTGCGGAAGCAAGACCTGCAGGTCTCCGCCGGCAGCTCCAGCAGGCGCGGCGCCGTGGCGGCGGGGCAGGCGGAGCAGCCGTGGGTGGCGTTGTACTCGCCGTCCCCGCCCCACTTACAGGCGGCCTTGCCGCAGCCGGCTGCACAGCGGGAGGCAGGCGGGCGGGCAGGTGTGTGAAAGGGGTGGCAGGTGGCTGCACCCCTCCCCAGTCTCCCCCCGAGAGAGTACCTCACACTGCTGCACACCCCAGTGCGGCGCACACACGCCTGCACGCTCCAATGTGGGGGTGCGCCGTGCAGCTGCGTGTGTGTGTGCGTTCAGGCAGCCCACCCACCTGAGCAGCAGGGCAGGCAGCGCCAGCTGTACGGGAACCACTTGGCGCAGTTGGCAAAGTACTCGACCGGAACCGGAAAGTAGGCGCCGTCAGAGCCGCACACGTCCGCCGGCACCACGCCCTGGCCGCTGCTGTCCGTGAAGTTGTCGGTGGAGACGCGGTACGGCGTGCAGCCGGCGCAGGTGGAGGGGGTGCAGCCGGGCGGGCGGGCCCAGGGCAGCGCGGCTTCGTCCGCCGCCGCCGCCGCTGCGGGCGCCCCAGCCGCCGCAAGCACCGATGCGAGTAGCACCCACGCCGATGCCGGCTTCATCCCGGAGCGGGTTGAGCCGAGCAGCGTAAAGGATGAGTGATGAACACGTTTGCAGATCCTCAGAGCCCCTCCCTCCAGTCCCTCCCTGGCTGCACAGAATACAGTAGACTGAGACTACGCGCTAGTGCAGCCTCCACCCGCTTCGCCGCGAGCAAACTAGCGGCCAACCTGGCCGCCAGCTGGCGCAGCGGCAGCGCGCGAAGCGGGAGCCCAAACCGCAGCCATGTCGGTTGACGGTTGGCGCAGCTGCATTGCCTTGCCACCAAGTTACGAAGCCAGACAAACGACTGAAGCCAGATTGGCTAACAGCTAAATGACTGGATGGCAAACAGACGGGCCCGCCGCCCCGCTGCCGCGCGTTCAAATCACCGCGCCGTGCTGCCGCTGCCGCCGCTGGCCCTGAAGGGCAGCGGGATCCGCGGTCCCTCCACAGTCGTAAAGGTGCGCTCCTGCAGCCAGCGGGGCAAGGCAGCAGTAAGAAAGACGGCTCAGTACCGAGCATTGCTCATGTCTGTGCTCGGCAAAGCTCCCTGAGTGGGCAGAGGCATCAGCTGCAGAGAGGCGGGCGACAGGGCGGGCGGCAGCCAGGCGGGCGGTCGGGCGGGCAGCATCACGCACGCATCCCAGCGCGCATGCCTGGATGTGGTACAGCCTGTCGGGATCAAACCGCATGCCCCGCAGCCGCTCGCTCCATGCGTCGCACACCGCCTGCGGGGTGAGCAAGCGAGCAAGCGCAAGCAGGCCGCAGCAGCAGTTGGTGGGTGGCTGTACGGCCGGCACCTGAGGGCTTGCTTTCTCCTGCAGGCGCAACACGGCGTGCGTGCAGTACCGCCCCCCGCACCTGCACTCTGTCTATCTGCTCCCGGGTCAGCTGCTTGGGGGTGAGCAGGCGCGCGATGGAGGCGTGCACAATGGTGCTCTGCTTGGGCGGGCCGCCGGGGAAGGCGTGGCGCAGTCGCTTGCGCAGCTGCAGGTCGGGTGTGTGTGTGTGTGAAGAAGGGGCCTGAGGATGGGCAGAGCGGCGAGCAAGCCGCGCGGGAGGTGCCGCTCTCGCTGAGAGAGAGCCTCCCGGGCTGCCCCCTCCCCCGCCCACCTGCGCCAGGTTGGCTGTGTGGTCCACGCTGCACAGCAGCAGCGTGCCGCTGTCGGCCATCACCAGTCGGTGCACTTCAAACCGCGGCGCATCTGCGGGGCAGCGGCGGCGGGCGAGGGATGGGGTGAAGGGGAATGGGCAGGCCAACTCTGCCTCGGGCCACAGGGCTACCACATCTGCGACACAGGCCGACCAGCGGGCACAGCATTCCAAGGTGCGGCGCCAGCCGGTCTTTGGCGGGTGGCAGGGGCAGGCCGAGCCACCCGCGGCGCCCCACCTGTGCCCGCCGCCGCCACCCTGAACGCCTCAATCTCCTGGGTCAGGCGCTGAGGGTCGGGCTGAAGGGGGCAGCCAGAAACAGGGTAGGGGGTGGGTGGCCAGGGAGTTGGGCGAGCTGTGCAGCGCCGCCCAGCAGGCGCCGGGCAGTGGACAGCAACACGCCGACAAGGGACCAGCAGGCACACGCACTCCAGGCCAGCAGCCAGCCAGCAGTCAACAATCGCAACCAGTCGACAGCCACCCACCCTGGCAGACTCGGCCTGCTCCTGCGGCGTGCCGTCCAGCTTGAGGCCGCCGCTGGCTGGGTCAAACGGGTCTGGCCTGCAAGGGGGAGCAAGCAGGCTCGGCGCCCGGCCAGCACGCACAGGGCAGCAACAACGGCAAGCCGCAGCGGCAAGGCACGCGGGGAGCGCGCGGCGGCCGGCGCCGCATGCGCCGGCAGCGGGAGGCAGGGGCGGCGCCGCGCCGGCACGCGCCGCACCTGAGCGTGTGCGGCTGGCTGGTCATGTACACGGTGATGTGGTAGTGGGAGGGCTTGTTGGCGTGCGCGCTGCTGCCCGGCGGCAGCGCACGCAGCACCTCCTGTGCCGCCTGCCACACCAGCTCCGCCAGCCGCCGGTTGCACTCCTGCGCGGTGGGGCGGGCAGCCGGCGGCGGCGGGCAGGGCGTGTTGCAGCAGGGCAACCAGCAGGTAGCCCCCGCCGGTGGTCGGCCCCAGCCTGGGACTTGCGCCACCACCGTGCCAGCCGGGTGGCAGCCAGCCCTCTGCCGCTCCTTTCCACCTGAAAGAAGATCACCCCCAGGCGCACCGCCCCCGGCGGCAGCGGCACCGGGAAGCGGTCATAGTCAAGCGGCACCGCCTCGCCTGCGAGGGCGAGGGCGCCACGGGGACGCAGCAGCACGGCAGGTGGGCAGCGGCGGCTGGTGGGCTGGTTTTGGTGGCGAGGGAGCGACGCACGCGAGGCCCTGCACGTATACAACCAACCTAAGCTGCCACTGCCGTCCTGGCGCTGGCGCTGCCGTCCTCACCGGGCCCCTCCAGGTTTTCAAAGTACTGCCGCATCGCCTCCACCGCAGGCAGCGTCAGCCCGTGCCCCTCAAACTTCTGCGCCATGTCATCATACACGGCGGCCAGCAGGCGCGGGTCGCTCTGCTGCTGCTCGCTCACTGCGGCGGCAGACGGGCGAGCAGGGGGGGCGGCGTGACAACGCGCGCGGCGGCGGCGGCGGGCTGCGTTCCTGGCTGCGAGCGATGCGGAAGGAGGGGCGGTGAAGGAGCACTGCGGGGCCAAGTGCCCCGCAAGGCAGCGGCGCCCACCCGTGACCTTGGCCTTGAGGTTGGCGCTCATGTCTGGGATGTTGACGCTGCTGCCCACAATATGCACCCTGCAGGCAGGGCCAGCATGCGCCAGGGCGCCGGCACGGGTCGGCGGCGGGCGGGCAACCGCGCAACGCCGGCAGGGGGCGGCGGCGCCCGGCGCTGGCAGGATCCCATCCGGGGGCTCACTTGCGCTGCGCCTCCTCCTCGGCCGTGTCCACAATGGCGTGCGCTGCGGCATCAATGGCTGCATCCTGGGCTGCCGGCTGCTGTTGGGCGGCGGCGGCGCCGCTGGCGGCGGTTGCGTGGCGCCGCCACTGATACCAGGTCAGGGTGCCCAGAAGAGCCCTGCAGCAACGCAAGGCTAGGTTGGGGATGATGTGCGCCCGTCCAGAGGCTCTGGGCACTCGGTGGGCCTGGGCTCAAGACGTTGAAAGTTCACGGCTCACCAGACCACCGCCTCCACGGCCGCTGCGGGGGTTCCTTGCAGCATGAAGGCGCTATGTATTGATCCGACAGCGCAGCAGGGCTCTGGGGGTTGCACACAGCAACACCGCGCGATCGGGCGGGCGCTGAACCCTTTTGTTTCTAGCAGTGGCTAGCAATGGACAGGCGCTACTGCACCACTGATCGCCGGATGGCTGGAGCACCGAAACGCACGTACTAAAAGTTGCTGGGCGGCCGCGTACCGCAGCGCCTTCGCCGGCAACACCTGCCTGCTGGTCTGCTGGATGTATCAGAAAGTTGCCTGAGTTGTTGCCTGAGTCTCTGGCAGCTTCCACCAACCATTCTCAAGCAGAGGACAAATAGCCTGGCTGGCGGGCTCGACCGGCGAGCGGCACGGCCACCCATCTACAAACCCATCCGTCTGGCTATTCACCGCCAGCCAGCGCTTGGTGAGGGCGCTCCTTCATGGCATATATGAGCTTGCAAATCGACAGGCTGCACTGCGGGGTATGCGCGCTGCCCAATGCCGCAACCGCCGCCGACCGCAGACCGGCGGCGACGGCAGGGGGAAGAGGAGCAACTGTCGCTGTCTGCGATGCGCGCCAAGACGCTGTCGTGACAGCTGAATCGACCCAACCAGCTTGGAAGAGCGGCGTCCTGCGCCTCAGACAGTGAAACCCCTCCATTGCATTCTGGCACACAAGCCCCAGGACGTTGGCAGGGCCGAGGGCAGGGCCCTGTCGTTACACATGCCCAATCATGCAACCGGGAATGGGCAAGCTCGCCAGAGGTCGCTGATTCTGCCCACAAACCCGCATCTTTCCACCGGCAACGCGCGGCCGGCTGTGCCTTCTTCTCCCGCCCTCCTCCTCGGTCGCTGCAGTTTGCTAGTGTCTTGCACGGCTCTTAGGTAGCTGTTTCTGGCCTGGGGGTGCCACAGAGGGACGGCAAGGGTAGTTGGCCCCCGGCATCTGCGGCAAAGGCTCTTCCTTCAGCGCAGCACGGGTTTACCCACTGCGCACAGCAGCCGCGTGGACTATACTAGCGGGTAAACAGGCGGGTCGGGCCTCCCGGCGAGCCGCCACCCCGCCAGCAGATCCCGTGTACCAGACGCTGGGCGCCCAGCGTTCTGGGAGGCTGCCAGGGCAGGGGCCCGCATCTGTGCAGGATGCCGGTTGCGCTGGCCGCTCCTCCTTAAGGGCGCTGCCGCACTCACCGGCGGTGCTGCAGGTCTCACCATGCGGACACACCAGCAACCGCAGCAGCAGCGGCGCGGCGGCCTGCGCCTCGCGCTGCTGGTCTGCCTGCTGGCGCTGTCCCACGGCGCCAGCGCACAGGGTGAGCCGCCTGGGGGGTGGAGAGCGGGTGTGGCAGCCAGGCGTGAGTGGGGGGCAGGGTGCCTCCGTGCGATGTGGGGCGGGCGTTGAGACAGCGGGACACAACCACTTTCACCCCCTCAACTGAGCCTGTTTTTGATGGGCAGGTGTTGCTGCTTGAGGCGCGCTGCATTGGATGGGTGCTGTGGCTCTGAAGCCATGCATGCCTGCCATGGCGCATGCCTGACCTGCATGATGTGCAGCTGACTCCGTGGTGGTTGCGATATGCATTGCCGCCTGCAGGCCTCCTAGATATGTTTGAGAACGGCGCTGCCGCCACTCCTGACGCCACCACACCCACCACCACCACTCCTGAGACCACCACCACCACGCCCACCACCACCACACCCACCACCACCACTCCTGAAACCACCACACCATCTCCCGCCACCACAACACCCGCTCCCGCAACCACCACGCCCGCGCCCGCCACCACCACGCCCGCGCCCGTCACCACGCCATCTCCCGCCACCACCACCACACCCGCGCCCGCCACCACAACACCATCTCCCGCCACCACCACCACGCCCGCTCCCGCCACCACCACCACGCCCGCGCCCGCCACCACCACCACACCTGCTCCCGCCACCACCACCACACCCAACATCACCACTCCTGCGGTGGGCTCCCCTAACACCACCACGCCCGCCGGCACCACCACCACTGCCCCGGTGCCCCTCAATGCCGGCAACGTCACCACGGGCACTCCGGCCGTTGACATGGCGCCCGGCGCCGACGCGGCGGCAGGTGCGCTCGCGAGGCAGCAGCGCTCGCAGCGGCGGGGCCGAGGGCTGGGGCGCTGCTCCAGCCGCGCTGGTCTGCACCTGTGCCGCCCACCACCTCTGCCCTCGCTGCCCCGGCCTCTGCCTTCTTCCCTCGCCCCTGCCCACCACCTCCCGCCACCTCCTCGCCCACCTGCGCTCCCGCCTCTCACCTCCCCACCCCTTGCCGCAGTCTCCGCCGTGGGCACCGTGACCACGGAGCAGCAGCTTGCGGCGGAGAACACGCTGCCCCCGGGCCCCCCCATGGACTGGACCACGCTGCAGAAGGACTGCCAGCTGGTGTTTGACGTGGAGATCCGCGGCGCCTTCATCGTCCCCTTCACCTCGCCCAAGGCCACCGTCATTGCCCGCGTGCTGCGCGACCGGTACCTGCGCTCCGCCCAGCTGCCCGACATCTCGGTGCAGGCCATGAACCCGTTCATGGTGAGGCGAGGCGGGGGGGGCAGCAGGTTGGGTGTGGCGGGGGCTGGGTGTGGTAAGGGTGGCTGGGCATGTGTGTGTGTGTGTGTGCAGCAACCAACACACGCAAGCCCAGCCCTTCAACTGCTGCCTGCCTCCACAAGGCAACCCCACACCACGCACACACACACCTCGCCCCCCTCCCTCACACACCGCCTGCAGTACCTATCGTACGACAAGCTAGATGCCGACGACGCGCTGTCCGACGCGCAGGACGAGGCGGCGGCCGCCTCGGGCGCCACGGGCTCTGCCGCGGTCGGCGGCCGCCGCCGCCTCGCCTCGCGCGACCTGCTCCAGATCGAGAAGAGCGGCGCGGAGCTGCGCATCGTGGTGGCCACCTCCTCCGTGCGCACCGACAGCGAGATGGCGACGTTTGAGGAGGGGGTGGAGAGCGGGCGCATGGCGCGCGACTTCACGCTGGCGGGTGGGCGCGGCTGCGGGGTGTGGGTGGGTGGAGGCTGTGCGTGTGGTGTGGGGGGCTTATCTTTTGCGGATGTGCCGACCCCCTGGCGGCGCCCGCTGCCACGACCGCTGCGTGTGAAGCTGGCTAGGCTGCTGGGTGGGCGTCTCCCCCTGCCCCTGCTTTGCCTCACCTGCCCTCTCCTCCCTCCCCCCACCCCGCAGGCATCGACACGGAGAACCTGACCCTGCTGATGCCGCCCTACCAGGAGGAGCTCATCGGGCCAGGCACTGTGGACGAGGACGCAGCCAGCGGCGGCACGCAGGTGGGCCGCAGGACAGGGGGGGGCCGCGCCGCTGCGGCGCCTGGGCATGCACGCGGCGCTCTGCTGCTGTGGTCTGCGCTGCTTGCTCAGGCGCTTGGGGCAAGGATGGCCCGCCCGATGCTCCGCTCACTGTGCCCCTGCCCCCGCCTCTGCCCCGGCCTGCAGTCGTGGGTCGTCGGCGTGATTGTGGGCGTGATCCTGCTGCTGCTGCCCGTGCCGCTCTTCATGCTGGTGCGGTGGCGCAAGCGCAAGAACCGCGAGGCGCGGGA